TTGGCTTCTTAGCAGTGTTGCAGCCCAGCCCAGATCCAAAGCTCACAATACCGTGAACTGCCCAAGTGTTGTCATTTTGGCAGTTCAAGGGACCACCAGAATCCCCCTGATACGAGAGAAACAACATTTTTAAAAAGTTAAAATGGGAACACGGAGAGAGTTTGCTTGATTTCCTTATCACAATCAAAAGCCCAGAGATGCAAGCAAATAGGCCATTAACAGGATCAAGACTTTGAGGGATTGGTGCCCAGAGAGATGGCCATAGAATAGAACACATTGGGAGTATCTGCTCTGCTGTTAACCTTTTAAAAGGAGAACATTAAACTTTAAAAGGCTAACAACAGAGCTAAGAGCTGGCTTCAAATAATGAAGTTGAGTGGAGGTGAAGCTGAAATCCAGTGGCACCTTAAATTTATTCCAGCATGTAAAACAGAGTTCACTTCATCAGATGACACAGAGTACGTATCCAGAGGACATATATTTATACCTTAAAGGCTACAGAAAGGAAGAAGTGGGAAGACACTATGAAGAGAGGTCAGATAGAAACAATAACCAAAGAGAAATCAGTCCATTCATAACAGAAGACCATTCCCAAATGTTGATGGATGGGCAGGCTTAACATAAACTCAGGTCTCATCAAGGAAGGTGCAGTGTGAGATGTAATAAACAGAACTAATTCACATTTCTAAAGGGTAGGTCAGGCTGAACGATCAGACTCCATTGTTTATGAGGGAAATCCAAGTCCTTGTTCAGACCTGGGAGAAGGACAGTCTTGACTCTCTTGATGAATCCTAATTCAGCATGAGTGGAGAATGAAGGGTTAAACCCCCACTGCTGTCCCTGCATGACCCCAAGGCACATGGAGGCTGTACAAGCCTGCAATTTCCATTTTAGGGACAGACCAAGGTGCATGATCTTCATCTTGTCTGTTTCGTCTTGAGAGACAGTGACTGACCCAAAGTCACCCCTGCACCCAGAACTTTATGGCTGAGATCTGAACCCAGATTTTGCTCATCCAAGCCTCAACATTCTACGTATTATACTTCCCCAGCACCATAGTGCTCCACCTCTGTTACTTCAATCCTCTTAACTACCACTCTGCAAAGTAAGCCAGTGCTGTTATCATCCCTGTTATACGGTTAAGGGGCTTCCCAAGACTCCCTTTGGCTAAGGTGAGACTCAAACTCAGGGCTTCCTAGCCCAGTCTCTTAACTGTTCTGCTCAGATTTTCACAGTGATCAAATATGAGCACATACAATCCTTATGAAGGTAAATGCTCCAGGCAAAGAGAAGGGGAAACTTACATTGCACCCTGAAGTGACACCATCTCCTCCTGCACACACCATTGTGGTCCGGACCGTGGAACCCCACCAGCCACGCTGGGAGCAAGTCTGGTGATCTACTATGGGCAGCAGAGCCTGTTGAAGGTCGTCGGAGATGGGACCGTTAGCTGCAAAACAGAATGAGCTGCAATCAGGGCTAATTCCCAGAAGCATTCAAAGAACCCGTCAATTACCTAAAGGAGCTCAGGGAGGCGAACCTGGCTCCTCAATTTTATCCTCACAACCCCCCTGCAAGGTAGATTAAACCTGCTGGCCCAAGGTCATATAGTAAGCTTTGCGGCTGAGTGGTGTTACCATGTGTGCTTCTAAATGTTTTATCTGAGCTATGATGATGCTGTACTGTCTGTAAAATGTCTTTACATTTCTGCATGTGGGATAAGGGGATTGCTGTGTTGTTAATAGCGTGCTCTGCACCTCATGCCTGCCTCTGGATGAGCAAGGCTTGGGTTGCTATGCTAAATGAACACGTGCTTCCCTGCACCTTCCCAGCGTGCCTCAGGACAGAGGAGACCGTCGCCATTAATGCTCAGCTTCTGGTTTGTGCATCACAAAGAACACATCCTTTATTGCCCTCCTGGACCAGGCACATCTCTGCAAGTCAAAGGTTACCAAGGGAACAGAACTTTGACACCTGGCCACATGGCTCCTCTTTGAAGTTAGGGTAGAGCATTTGAATATTGCCCCCTTCCCCTTAGCTAGGACGTCACAACCCTTAACCTATAGCATAGTAAAGGGGACGGTTTTCTAGGGGTTTATTGGCCTTAAGCCAAGCCCAAAACCTAGGTCTTAAAAAGAGAAACACAGCCTTTGTTTCTCTGGTTAACCCATCTTTCCCTCACCTTGCAACTTAAGTGCTGAAGGTGATTCTTACTGCGTTCTCTGGAGTCGCAACCAGAGGACCCGCACGTGTATGGCAGGACCATTCCGTGTGCTTTAGAATCCACCAGCTGATACTTGAGCTGCCCCATTCTTTCTACTGAGGAGATTTCTTCTCAACTTGGATCTCAGATAAGTATAAGTGATATCCTTCTGTGTTATCCCACTGTCTGTTGAGTTTATTACTTTTCATGCTAATTGCTTTCTATTTACTATTGTAACTAAAGGAATCTTGTGCAAATCTGCGAGTGTATCTGTTTTTGTATGCTTGGAAACTGCTTAGTAAAAGACAACATTTATTCATTAAACCTAGCGTGTTGTCTCACTTCCTGGGAGATAGGAGCGTTCGTTGCCAATCCGCCCTCTGTATACATGGGTAAATTACTCATGCCACGCCCACTGCCGTACATAAGACAGAGTTGGGCTCTCGGAACCATCCTAAGAGGAGTTTCGGTAACAGTGGGGATTTGATCCCACCTCTCTCCACTTCTAGTCTGGTGCTCCAACCCCACAGATAGAAGAAGAGGAAGAGGAGGAGGAGGAGGAGATTGGATTTATACCCCGTTCTTCACTCGGAGTCTCACAGCATCTTATAATCTCCTTCCCTTCCCCTGCCCACAACAGACACCTGTGAAGTAGGTGGAGCTGAGAGAGCTCTTTCGAGAACTGCCCTTGAGAGGACAGCTCTGAAGCAACGTATGACCGACCGAAGGTCACGCCAGCAGCTGCAAGTGGAGAAGTGGGGAATCAAACCCAGTTCTCCCAGATTAGAGTTTGCACTCCTAACCACTACACCAAACTGGCTCACAGAAGAGTTATCTGGAAGAGCACCAAACTCAAAATGCGTTGGAGGGACTCATCTTAAATCTGTCACCCAGGATCGCTGCCACCACACCTATGCAAGTAAAGCACACCTGGTTTAACAGAAACACTAATAGCGAGGCCCGTGGTTAGCAGCTAAAAACATTCCTTGCCATGAGCCTCAATAATCTACATCTTACTGGCATCGGCACTGCCCCCAGCAGCCAGCTCCCTAACCTCATGAACACTTGAAGCGGCCTTATACTGAGCCAGACCGCTGATTTATCAAAGTCAATCTTGTCTGCTCTGACTGGCAGCAGCTCTCCAGGGTTTCAGAAAGAGGTTCTTCCCATCACCTCCTGCCTGATCCTTTTAACTGCAGATGGTGGGAATTGAACGTGGGACTTCCTGCGTGCCAAGCAGATGCTCTACCACTTAGTCCCATCCCTTCTACAAGCCTGAGCACCCCCTTGCAACTCCCAGGTCTCCCTCTGTCTTCTTGGTGCTGGGGGAGGTCAACAGTGGGAGGGCTTCTAATGTCCTGGCCCCAGTGGTGGACCTCCTGATGGCACTGGTATTTCTGGCCACTGTGTGATAGAGTGTTGGGCTGGATGGGCCTTTGGCCTGATCCAACATTGGCGTCTCTTATGTTCTTATGTTCTCTCTCCTCACACGAGATAGTCATCAAAGGGTCTTCTGGTACCCTTTCAGAAGTTGAGCATGCATATGTCGGAGGTATAACGGCCTTTTGAGTGATTTTGCTCCGTCTGCCGAATCCCCTCCCATTGAATATTTGCCCGGCACCATCTATGTTACCTTTCAGGTGACAGGCAAAGCACGTCTGAGTTTTTGGTGGCTTCCCTTCTCCACCGCTATAGTTCTGATTAGTACGAAGCCATACTGCTGTTTGTAACGGTGGCTGTTTTGACTGTGTTGTGGTTTAATGGGTTTTTAAAAGTGGTTTTAGCTGGTTTGTTTTGTTATGTCCTGCAAGCTGCCTTGAATGTCCTGATTTGCGGCCCAACCGTGGCAAAGCCTCAGCAAATCGTTTTCACAGAGTGCCGCATTTGAGATTCCCCGGCGCATGTCCTACATGTGCCCTGTCGGCCCTGTTAAACTGAGGGTGAGGCAGGGTGAGTGGTGGTGGAATAATGTAGAAGTGGCTGCTGGGGGGGCTCATTCGCTTACTTCCTGTGTGTCCTACCTCCTCGCTGACCTCCTGGCCCCTGCCCAGATTGCAGAAGCGTTGGCCTTTGCAGTTGGTCACTATATGCAAGATAATCAATCTTCAACCTACTATATAGGCGTCCCCATCCGGTGATGTAGCAGGGGTAATCCTGGGCCAGCAAGGTGTCTGCGTCGGGCAGGCAAGAGGGCTGGATCGTGTCACTGAATTCGACGTGTTCGGCAAGCTTGAGAAGAGCAATGTCGTTCCTGAAATAAGACAGTGGCAGAAGGTGTGTGTGGGGGGTTGAAACTAGGGAGAGAGATCCTTGGACTTAAGCATGGACTATGCCTACCCCAGGACGACCTTTTCACCCAGAAGATAACTCTTCAAAAAGTTTCAGTTTAATTTCAGGTTCAGGTTTTTCTACAGGGCATGCTTTTCGGCATGCTGGAATTTCGGTGGGTGCGTTTTCAGTTGCGGAATTATTTTTCGAGCGCAATATTCGGATTCCAGGATCTCAGCACCCAAAAAGTATGGTCTGTAGAAAAACAGGAGCCTCTTAAGTTTGACACAGGCTAGGTCCTGGCATGTCTTCATCTGGCCCTGCCTCAGAGCATGTGCAGAGAGCACTTTTTAAACCAGAGCTGATTCTCTGACACCTGTTTGAGAGTTAACGACATGGTCTTGCTCAGTGGCGCAGACTCAGACTCTGGAAAAGATGATAGCCTTGGCATCCCTAGATTCAAATCCAAACTGAGATGCGACAGGCATGAGTCACAGCCACAAAGGTCCCACTAAGCCAGTGGCGCGGGCTATATAGAAACCAGAAGAAGAAGAAGAAGAAGAAGAAGAGATTGGATTTATATCCCGCTGTTCACTACCTGAAGGAGTCTCAGAGCGGCTTACAAACTCCTTTCCCTTTCCCTCCCCACAACAGTCACCCTGTGAGGTAGGTGGGGCTGAGAGAGCTCTTTTGAGAACAGCCCTGGAGAAAACAGCTCTGAAAGAACTTGTGACTGACCCAAGGTCACACCAGCAGCTGCATGTGGAGGAGTGGGGAATCAAACCTGGTACTCCCAGATTAGAGTCCACGCTCCTAACCACTGCACCAAACTGGGCTCAGTCTGGGTGCATCTTTCCTTGGGGCAGGAGATTATCCTCAGAACTGTCTGGTTCGTGCTACCTGCTCCCATCTTCCCAACAATCTGTTCCTAGATACCTGCTTCCTGCGCCACTGACCAAGCACCAGAATCCTCAGAGTCTCACACACCAAGGCTACAGGGGCAGTAGCTTCACCTTGCCCTCATGGGAACCTTATAGGGACCAGGCAAAGCTAAGAAAGGGTGTTATGGGTCACTGTTGTTGCCCAAATTATCTGGTCCCAATAGAAAAGAGCTTCAAGAGCCCAGTAGCACCTTAAAGACGAGGCAGAAGGTGTGTGGGTGTGGGGGGGTTGAAACCAGGGAGAGAGATCCTTGGACTTAAGCATGGACTGTGCCTACCCCAGGACTACCTTTTCACCCAGGAGATAACTCTCCAAAAAGTTTCAGTTTAATTTCAGGTTCTGGTTTTTCTACACGGCATGCTTTTTGGCATGCTGGAATTTCGGTGTGTGTGTTTTCATTTGCGGAATTATTTTTCGAGCGCAATATTCGGATTCCAGGATTTCAGCACCCAAAAAGTATGGTCTGTAGAAAAACAGGAGCCTCTTAAGTTTGACACAGGCTAGGTCCTGGCATGTCTTCATCTGGCCCTGCCTCAGAGCATGTGCAGAGAGCATTTTAAACCAGAGCTGAATCTCTGACACCTGTTTGAGAGTTTACGTTCCTATCTTCCCAACAATCTGTTCCTAGATACCTGCTTCCTGCGCCATTGACCAAGCAACAGAATCCCCAGAGTCTCACACAGCAAGGCTACAGGGGCAGTAGCTTCATCTTGTCCTCATGGGAACCTTATAGGGACCAGACAAAGCTAAGAAAGGGTTTTATGGGTCACTGTTGCCCAAATTATCTGGTCCCAGTAGAAAAGAGCAAGAGCCCAGTAGCACCTTAAAGACTAACAAGATATATCTGAAGAAGTGAGCAGTGACTCAAGAAAGCTCCTGCCCTGCTGCAAATGTTGTTATTCTTTAAGGAGTTACTGGACTCTTGCTCTTTTCTACTGTTACAGGCAGTCTAACACGTCTACCCATCTTGATCTATCTGGTCCCAGTGTTCTTTAGGGCTCTGCTTACTGTTGTCATCATGGATCTTTCTGTTTGAAAGGATTCATAAACATTGCAGGTGGTGGTGGAACATGCCGTCAAGTCACAGCCGACTTATGGTGACCCCAGAGGGTTTTATTAGCCACAAGGTATAGATAGGGGCTCTGGGGCAAGTGATGCTTTGTCTTCTTGGTGCTTGGGGGGGGGGGGGGTAAACGGGGGGGGGCTTCGTATTGCCTGGTGGACCTCCTGATGGCACTGGTATTTCTGGCCACTGTGTGACACAGAGTGTCGGACTGGATGGGCCTTTGGCCTGATCCAACATTGGCGTCTCTTATGTTCTTATGTTCTTATGTTTTTTCAGGGCAAGAGACTAATGGAGGTTGTTTGCCATTGCCTATCTCTCCATGATGGAGTGAGCTCCCATCTCTAGTTCAAGCTCCTGCCAGCCTAGCCATTCGAAAGCAAGAAATTGCAAGTAGATAAATAGGTACCACTTCGGTGGGAAGGTAACAGCGTTCTGTGTGCCTTGGTGTTTAGTCATGCCGGCCACATGACCACGGAAATGTCTTTGGACAGCGCTGGCTCTTCGGCTTTGAAACGGAGATGAGCACCGCAACCCTAGAGTCGGATTCGACTGGCTTTCGAGCAAGGGAACCTTTACCTTTACCTCTCTATAGCAACCCTAGGCTTCCTTGCTGGTCTCCCATTCAAGTACTAACAAGTGCCAACCCTGCTTAGCTTCTGAGGTCTGGCGAGATCAGGACAGCCTGAACCATTCAGATCAGGGCGGCCAGGGGGGTGGGGGGAGAGGTCAATTACATAACTACAGTTTAACCACAGCGAGGTTGAACAGTGTTTGGAGGGTGACTAATTCAGCTTGCCAGTTGGCACCCCAGAGCTAGAGAGAGAGAGAGAGAGAGAGAGAAAACGACACAACCGACTCCTCCCCCATGGACGCTGCCGCTCTGGGTGAGGCAAAAACAATCTAGGCAGCAGGGAGAAGGGGAAGAAAAATTAAAAGCTCGCTCACACAATCAGGAAGGAGTTCCATTTCTCATGCACGATCAGTTTCTCCACCGCTACGGCCACGGAACCGCGTTCTTCTTCTTTGAGGTTCTGTTTGCCCAGGAGAACACGATAGGTCCGACTGGAGCTGAAGAATCACAGAGAAGAAATCGATTCTGAGACAGAACTCTGGCGGGTGCCTCCGAAGCTTTTCAGCGCAGGCCCCGGTTCAGGTCCGGCTGCAGTGATCTTCCAAGGTTTGCTCTGCTGCAGTTCAGTGTAATGCAAGGCTATTTACCTGATGCAGTGGGCAGCCGTCAAGACCCAGTTGGATCCAATCAGGGTCCCGCCGCAAGTGTGGGCCCAGGCACCGTTCTTGTTGTACTGGAGGGAGACCTGAAAAGACAAAAGGGGGTTCGCTCCATTGGAAAGGACTTTGGTGGGGTATAATGCCATAGAATCCACCTTCCAAAGTGGCCATTTTCTCCAGGGAAACTCTGTTGCCTGCCGATCAGTTGTGATAGTGTGAGATCTCCAGCCACCACCTGCTTGCTAGCTGAAGGGTGTAGACTTTCCAATTTCCTGGGGGGGGGGGGCTGGGGGGGCCAGAGGCATTGCTTTGCTAGGAGCAAGGTTGGCTCCGGGGGGAGGCTGAGCACCTTCCTGAAAATTTCGGCGGGGGCTGACGCCCCGCCACCCCCACGAAGATTACGCCTAATCTACTAGGCTTGCTGGCTAAGCTGAATCATCACAGTGAGAAACACAAGCTGCCTGCTAGCTCTACTTGATGGATCATCACTTGGGAAATGTACAATAGGCTGCTGCATTGTTCGGGACAAATAACTGTACATTGGTATTTATCCTCCATCAGGAAGAAGACAGTTGGACTCTTCATGTTATATCACTTAGCTTAAAAGTGTTTGAAATGTGATGTTGCAGTTTGAAAGTGTTTACAATACACTAGAGTTGATGTTGTGTATAAAAAGCAAATATATTTAGCTATCAGTACATGTAAATATTGTGTTTTATTATTTCAACACAGTGTTTTTTGTGTTTAACCACCTGGAGGTTGACAAGCCTACTGGTACCCTTAACGGCTTTTAGTTCTTCTGGTGGCCGAACGTTCCGCAGGCCAACAATACCAACCATGAAAATGGGTCTTTTGTTCTCACCCGCAAATGAAACAAAAGCAAGGCAGTGTGGATGAGCAGGGAAGCCATCTTACCTGCCATGGCCAACTGTGGGGTCTAGCATCCACACCTCCAACTACCCGAGAGGTATTTGGCAAATATGCAGGCTTGCCACAGCCATGGGCTGGGTAGAAAAAGAAACGGGCAGGGGTGGGGAGAGAAAGTAAGAGGGGATGAACAACGTAGATACAACAGGTTGGACAGAACATTAACTAAAGATGTACAAATCTGACCATTCTTGTTTATTTCCTTTTTCATGTAGTCATTGTTTCCATTTCTATTGATAGCCTCCCCAACTGGTTTTTCCCCCATTCCACAGTATTTTAACATCATTTTAATGCTGTTTATACACAAATTGCTGCAAAAATGCATCCTTTTTCATGGAAATTGTATTGGATTTGGTTGGTTTCACTTTTAAGATGCTAGTTCATTTCAATCAGCTAAACCAACTGGAGGCTGAAGAGTTAAATGCTCTCTTCCTCTTCCGGAATGGTCCTGAGGCAAATTGAGGCAGCACAATGCAATTTGCATTTTATGGCCCGAATATGATCTTCTTGCAATTGTTTGAGCCCTCAGATAGGGGCAAAGGGGATTTATGCCTTTTTCTACCTTTGGAGAGTCGGTAACACTTCTAATAGGCCGTGCTGAGCTAGATGGACCACTGGTCACATTTGATATAAGGAAGTAGATCAGTTTAGCTGTCCTTGGAATTCAGTGTATTAATAGAGCAAAGAAATGGAGTTTTGTATACTCCTGGGGAGCGGATGGGATTAAATTTATACTCAGCAGACAATGAGCTACATGTTGCATATGGGAACCCTCCAGCACCCCCAATCTGAGCGCAGCCCTCCCCACAAAGTACTTACCACATGCCAGGAATAAGGCAAAAAAGAGAAGTTTGAACATGGTGACTGATTCTTATGTAGGCAGAGCCAGGGAAAAGTCTGCGTATTTATAGGGGGAAACCAGGCTAGATTCAAAGCCAAGAGCAGAAAGTCAACAAAAGGTAAGATAAAGGACCGTAATCTGACCTTGCTAAATTATCACTCGATAAATAGGGAATATTTGGAATCTCTGAGAAAGGAGGAGTGCCAATCTTGGTGGCCGTGACCATATTTCACACTCTGGCTGCCGAACTTTCTCACTGTGGTCTCTCTGCTTTTGAGTGAACCGCCTCAGTGTCATCCTTGTTGTCGTTGTTCAGTCGCATAGTCGAGTCCGACTGTTCGCGACGCCATGGACCACATCACGCCAGGCCCTCCTGTCTTCCGCCGTCCTCTGAAGCTTGCTCAATTTCATGTCCGTTGCATCGATGACACTGTCTAACCATCTCATCCTTTGCCGTCCCCTTCTTCTTTGACCTTCAATCTTTCCCAGCACCAGGGTCTTCTCCAGGGAGTGCTCCCTTCTCATTGGGTGGCCAAAGTCATCCTTGTGCCTCGATACAATACTTGGTCAACAGTTTGCTCCTTTGAGCCTGGGACACCCTGCAAGGTGTTTTGTCTGTTTCGGCCAGTGACATCCGCCTGGGGAGGGTGGGTGGGCACTGGGGAAACCGGGAGTTGGACCAACCATCGAGAATGAAGAGAGAACAGATGCTGCTTCATGGGGAGTCCAGAAGGAAAATCTGTTCAGATGGTTAAAGCGGCAATGAGTCAGATGGAAATGGGTGAATCCACCGTTCGCTCTGAATCCAGAGTCTGCTGGTTACCCAGCACCATCCAGAATGTTGCTCATAAAATGACTTTAGTCATTCCTACGTGAGAGTGATTGTTGTGTAACCCTCCCCCTCCACGCACTTTTTTGTGGGGGGAGAACTACCTTTCACAGTATTGCCGCCAGTTTGGTGTAGTGGTTAGGAGCACGGACTCAAATCTGGGAGAACCGGGTTTGATTCCCCACTCCTCCACATACAGTGGCTGGTGTGTCCTTGGGTCAGTTACAAGTTCTCTCAGAGCTGTTCTCTCAAGAGCAGTCCTCGAAAGAGCTCTCTCGGCCCCACCTACCTCACAGGGTGTCGGTTGTGGGGAGGGGAAGGGGAAGGAGATTGTAAGCCGCTCTGAGACTCCTTCGGGTAACGAAGTGCAGGGTATAAATCCAAACTCTTCTTCTCTTGTCTGAAGGCCAGATCACAGCCTCCAACTGATAAGCAAGACTAATGAGGTCTAGCAATGTTCGTCTGCCTTTAAATGGCAGTTTCCCCCCGCAGAAATCAGCGGGGGAAACTTACATAAGAACATAAGAGACGCCAGTGTTGGATCAGGCCAAAGGGCCCATCCAGTCCAACACTCTGTCACGCTTCTCCGAGCATGCATTACTGCCTGCAAATCAAGTGATTGCTGCAAGCACAGGAGCACTGAATAGTTAGAAGGTGGGCAACCGCAGCGGCTGCTTCTGAATCCAGGACAGGCAGGGCACAGATGCCGTTTCCCAGCCCTTTCCCATCTTGGCTAGAACCACCGTTTGAAACTAATGTTAGAAAACGCATGACCCCAGCAGCACCCCAGACTTCCCCTACGAAATTTGGCAGCAGCCCCTGGGACCAAAGGTGTTTATTAACAGATGCTCTCGCTGTTGGGAAGTGAAACAGACTTTAATTTCACAGTCCTATCATGGTGCATGGATGTAACCAGCTGGTCATTCCCAGCACCTTCCCACCACCAGTACTTAACTGGGAAAGAAGGGGAGGGGGAGAGCAAAGGAAAGCTGTGTTTTCAAATCAACAGATCATAGTGCTACATTTTTTAAAAAGTG